AACAACAATAGTGTCATTAGAGAGCAAAGTAATATCTGTTAATTATTTATAGCAAATAATGTTAGTAAAGGCATTACTACGTATAAAATACCTTGTTGAGTGCAACAAATAATTATCACTCTCTAATGATTTACAAAAACAAACATAGACTTTAAAGTATTTAAAAACTATACACCAAATTAACAGAGAAGGGTACTGTTACAATATGGAATCACCAGCTCTTTCACATCATCTTATAAGAGAGTCCATGAAGTCTCTCACACTGCATTAGCTCCCATTTATCAAGAGAGACTTCAATACCACTCAGCACTCAGTAACATTTAGAACTCATTTTCAGAGCAATAAAGCTCCTTGTTAAAGAGTTCGCCCTGGGAAATACTGCCACCATACCTTTCTTTTGCAGCCAATCAGTATTAGACAACTGCGTACCAATTTTGAAAAGTAAGGGTGTTAGTGAAATTACAGGCAAATGAGACATGTCAACATTGCGTCGAGTTGTGGCACCGCAACTGTTACGGACAGGTGTGTTGCTAGCACGAGGCGCGCAACTTGTTAATTCCCTCACTTAATAAAAAAACATACATAATTTGTCCAGTGTGTGTAGTATAAGTAAGATGTGTGTAAGATGGCGATAGAAAGCATTGAACCGTTTTTAAGTGTTTTCTGCGTTTTTAAGTAGGTATTTTCTATTAAGAGTTATCAAAATTTTAATAGCCGTCGAGTGATTAACAATGCAATGAACTTTTCCTTTTGAACGTCTCTCTTGTCAAAGTCAAAATCAAATAATCATTTGTTCCATACACTTGAAAACGTCGTTTTTTAAACTACTGCTCGTTGGCTACGCTGACCTCCCTAAGAAGAACGAGCAAGAAACTCTAGGGATTGCTATTTTCAAATAAACTCAAATGCTTTTGAATACATTTTGAATCATTATTGTGTGGAATCTAGAGTCACGTTGTCTTTCCATACATCTTTATCTAACACGTAGTCTACAATTTTGTAATATGACTTTTCAATTAAAATACTTTTAATGTAAGTTTTGAACTTAGGAAATGATAATCTTAATATTTGCTCCGGAATTTTATTGTAAAAACGTATACAGTTCTCCATAAAAGAATCGTTTACCTTAGTTAAACGAAATCGTGGTACCATGAGTTTGGACTTAGTTCTAATGTTAATATTATGGATATCTTCTTTCTTAACGAAATTATGTATATTTTACGGACATACAAAATATTTGAGTAAATGTACTGTGATGCCACAGTCATGATACCAGTCTCCTTAAACTTTTCTTTGAGCGAAATCTCGAGAACCGCCTAAATGGTACACAGAACGAATTGCTAGTTATTTGCAGCACAAATACGGTTTGTAACATCTGCCGCTTTACCCCTCATGAGAATTCTGTAGCATATTATACTATGGAAGTAACTAAAGTAAACTAGCCAAGCAGTAGCAACATCGGTAAGCTCACGTATTCCACGGACTGTATACAGCAGAGCTTAATCTGCTGGCCAAGGAAGATATATGTGGAAGCCATTGGAGTTTACTATCTAGGGTCACTCCCAAAAATACAGGTTTATTAACAAGGTCTAACTTTTCTACGTTTATTTTTATGATTGGGCTAGTCGATTTTACATTAGGTATTCAAATTTAGCACACTTTGTCTTCATGGCATTGAGCGATAAATTGTTAACATTAAACCAATAAACTACCTTTGAAAGGGTATCGTTAATATTGTCATAGTTAACGTTATTATGTCTGTCTGTTTTAAAAATCAAGGATCCGTCGACAGCAAACAATACTATTTCGCAAAGGCCCTTAACAAAGAATGATAGATCATTAATATAAATGAGAAATAAGAAAGGTCCAAGTATTGAGCTCTGCGGAACGCCCATTTTTACCGAAGAACCCAAAGATGTCACTCCATTATATATACTTTTTTAATTCTACCGTTGAAATATGACAAGTTCCAATGCTTTGCCACTTACTCCGTAACATTCCAGCTTCGTAACAAGAGTAATATGATCCACGCAATCAAATGCCTTTGAAAGGTCACAGAAAACCCCAATAGCGTTCTGGGACCTCTCCCAAGCATCAAAGATATGTTTTAGTAGTGCTTCTCCCGCATCGCTAGTCGATCTACCACTAGTAAACCCATGTTGTTTACTGTGAAAAACGTGATTCCTACCGAAATACGACAGTAGTTGAGTCAACATAACCCTTTCGAATATTTTACTTAAAGCTGGCAGAATTGAAATGGGCCTGTAGTTAGTAGGATTAACTTTCCTACCGCTTTTGAATAAAGGAATAACCTTACTGTATTTCATCAAATCGGCAAAAATACGTTACGCACCTATTGAATGCATCAGCTAAATGTGGGGAAATTAAATAAATTACCGAATCTATAACTTTAGTCGATATGCTCCAGAGATCTTCAGTTAAAAGCCTGAATTAACATGATGAAAATTAAATACACTGCCACAAACTTTAACATTTTTCTTTAGGGAATCAATAGCAAGAGATGGAGAGGTATTTAATATTTAGTACTTGTCACGGCGATTTTCGAAAAGAATGATTAAAAAGCTTGGGCTACCTCATCTTTGGATTTCATAAGTTTGCCGTCTAATTCTAGAACTATATATCTATCATGTTGTTTCACCCTGCCTGACTCTGTATTTATTATACTCCAAGTAGTTTTAGATTTATGTTTCGAGTGTAAAATGTTATAGCTATGAAACTTAACCTTAGCTACACATACTTTTTTAAATATTTTTGAATTATTTTTAACATACTCTATAAAAGTAGAAATAGTATTACCTATAAGTTTTCATAACGTACAGCTCATACAAACAAGTCCTACTCTCATGAAAGCCTACTGTTGTCCAGTCATTGAATTTAGACTCCCTATGGACAGGTTAGTGTTTTCGAAGTAAACACGATATCAAACTCATTTTTAATGCAATTAAATATCGTGCTATTTAAAAAATTTGGAACCTCCGGTATATATGTAGGAGGGAATTTAAACTATTGTCGATATTCTTTTGAAATCTAATGATTCGTTCTGTGGTAATCAGTCTACAGAGAAATACAATTAAAAGTAGCCGATTGCCGACTATGGTCTGATCTTAAGCAATTTATTATTGATTTAGATACTGCGTTTGTGTTGCAAAAAATGCAAGTAGAAGATGTAGCAGTGATGCGATTTGGTTCCAAAAAAAGATTGATCACGTTAAAACTTTTAAATAAATTAATGACTTTTATAGAAGTAGAACAGTTTTCCAACAGTTTTACATTGAAATCTCCGTTGACTAATATGGTTTTTTAGTGGGTAAAATCTGTTTTAAACTATCTTCTATGATTAATTCAAACTCGTTGAAATTGGCAGAAGGGGGTCTGTATACACATAAGACGACAAACTGATCCAATTCCAAACATGAAATCTCAATAGTCCGTTCAACAGAGAGATCTGTGATATCCTTACGCTCTTTAAATTTTATATTACGATTAATAATAATCATTGATACAACTTAAGTTCTTTCTTATGAACGTACTAACTATTACATAATTTTCTACGTTGTCAATTGCTTCGTAGTCTTTCAACCAGTGTTCTGTTACACAAAACACGTTAACCGAAATATCGTTTTAAAAAAAAAGTCTTATTTCTAATGTTTCGCCAGAAAAGCCTTGAACGTTTTGATGATCTACTTGGAAACGATTAGACTTTTCTTTTTTTCGATTTGACTTTTAGACTTTTGTTGTCGTGTTTTCTCTCTATTGTGCGACAATATTTTGGTCGCACTGCGTTGTCATGCATTCGGTTCATAATTCATTCACGAAATTGAAACGTCATTAATTACTCTCTTGGGTACAAAAAAGTTTTTAGTCTCTCTCCGCAGCAATGGCATTTATATAGATAGGTGATAGGTGGAAAGAAAAAACGGATATATAACAAACTGATTTATTGCAATAATTTAAAAATTATCTTTTAAAAAATACCCCAAGACCATATTTAAAAGCATCTCATATCTAACGCACAAAATTACACTTTACTCTTACACGCTATTCGAGAACTACATCAACGTTAACTCATATTGTGATCGAGGTCATTCTGTTAAAAAACAACAACATATTCACATAAAATATCACAGAGACTAGTTAAGTAACAAACATAGAAAACCTTTATAAAATATGATATTGATAAAATTATGTTCTCGATAAGCACTTCGTCCGGGTGATCACCAAAAATTTATTCAACGAATTAACCCTTAGTTAAACAATGTTTAGTGATCATTACAAGGAGTTAACTCCCCGGTCAGTATAGTCTATGTACACAATTCATCTATGAGCGGTTACACACGGCTACTTTTAGCAGCGACGCTATCGCGATGCAGTCGATAATCGTCTACCTTTACACACGCGCGCGAGTTTAAGCAGCGATGCAAATGCGATTCAAACGCGATACAAACACGATGCACGCTTTAAATTAATTAACTAATTTATTTATTTAATGTATTTATTAATTTCACTTTTAAATTTACAATTAACAAAACAAAATAATGATGCAATCGCCTACAAATTGCTGCTAAAAGTCGCCGTGT